AGACTAAGATGACAATTAAAAGGCATCTTAGCCCAAGCCCAAACTTGCCCAAAAGGAGCCCTCAAAATTTCTGATTACAGGTTCCCATCAAATAGTAACACGGGAATGCATGTCCATGACTATGGCCATGCCACCAATCAAATGAGGCAAACAAATGGTAGTAATAATTATAAAATGTTTATAAAAAATTACAATTGATATATTTATTTTTTTAGTTTTATGATTGATGTCTCAAACATAAAAAAATATTCCAATTTTTTTTTTTAACTTTCCAAAGTGTCCAAGTACCCGTGTCCAATATTTGGACACTTTTGAGCTGTGTCCACGTATCCTGTAAATTGATAGATTGACGAATCCGACCCCTAGACACGCACCTGTGTCTGACACCCGTACCCGAGTCCGGGTAACATAGTATCTGGCATGATAAGTTTATTTACTTTGCCATGTATAGTTAACTATAGTCATTCTTTGAAATCATGACACTCTTGCCTATCATTTATTAGATAAAAGTTAATTAAATGAATGAAAAGAGGCATGGGTTTTTGTTCTTTCCTTAGACAAGTATCCAAAAATATTTGGATACTAAATGTCTTTTATAGGTTAGTGTGTCTCACCAACCTAAATGCATGATTGTTTCACTGTATTCCTTATTTAGCAAAGGGTTCAAGAGTATTGTGTATTTAATAGACTCAAAACTCATATTCTAATGGAAATGTGACACTGCCTCTCTGTCCCTTCTTAAATATGCATTAGTTACTTCAAATTTGAATTCCTGAATCTTGGATTCTGAATCACTATTGAATCATGCATGAAACTGTGTCTGTGATTTGCGAAACTGAGTTCTTTTAAACTCATACTTGCATGTACCTTTTATAATTTTGAATTTAGGTTGAGCAAATTGAATATGATTCACTTTTTCATTTCATAATTTAATATGATTGAAATTTATGTGCAAAAAGTTCAAACTGATGAACTGTATCAATCGCGATCCTAGGAAAAAATCTAAAAATGAGTAAATTCAAGAGATGGACATCTAAGCCTTCATTCTTCATTTACTTATCTCCTGTGTTAGCATTATCAACCTCTCAATGTATTTGGCTTTTTTAATTTCATGGTGTTGTATTTTTTTACGGTACTGGTGCTCTTATTTTGTCAACCTTTCATTGTATTAGTTCAGGGCTGTTCAATTATTTTACTAGTATTCTGACTGAGTCTAGTTTTCATACGTCAAATTTCATGGAAGTTCAATGGATGGTTTGTGGTGTATGAGTTTTCAAAGTAAAAAATGTTGATTTAGACAGTTTTATATGCTTTATTGGTGACTTGTTTTTAAATTGGATATAGATCTTACTAATGAGATTAAATGAAGTGTTCATGTTAATTAATCAACCTTGGATTTTGTGCTTTGAGATTTGAGCCATTTGCAATTGAAATTAGTTGAATTTTTTAATTATTTTTGCCAAAAACTTATGTAACAATACTCTTTTGTTGTATTTTTTGAGGTTGTGAACTGGGTTTTATTTAATTCAATTTTTTGAGAGCTCTCTGTGACTTTTGTGAGGGATATCAATTATCTATTTATCATGTTGTTGAATCTAGTTAAAATATGGTTAGCATTTAATTAGAAGTATAATTATCTGAACCGGGTTCTATGTCGTGTCCAAGCACCGGAAATAGACAGCTATGACTATTCTTATAAAATGTCTTATATTATGAAAATTGACATATAATGATAAATATTTGGTTTTCATGTAAAATGCTATTTAATATGCTTGAAGCAGAAACATTTGTACAGGAGAATGGGAATGGTCTGGGGTTGTTTATAGGGCTCTGTTTGATCCTTAGTTCTTCTCAATTATTTTATTTTTGAAGTTTAAAGCTATTTTGTTGCTAAAACATTAGAAAAGATAAATTTTCTTCGCATCGATACTTTTACAAATAAAATATAACGTCTTTTTTATTACAATCAAGACTGGTCCTTATTAAATTGACCTGGTTTAAGTGATTCATAATTAACCAGTTAGGTGAAACGTTTCTTAATGGTTTCTTGTTGTTAGCGGCGTCATAAGATATATGCAACTTTTTGGGTCCCAGTTCCCGGTTCAACCATCGGAACTGGCTAATCTTGTTTTGTAAAGAGACTACAAGTTGATGCTTCTTTCACCAAACATTTGTTGGTTTTTATCTAAAACTCTTTTATTGATTCCCATCCTAATATGTTCAAAAAAAATTCACAGGATGGTCATCCTCCCCTTGGACGGTCAGATACGTTGGCGTATCTTGTCTTACCCTTGCTGTTGGATCTCTCACAATACATCTCTGTCCAAATCATGCAGCCATCGCAGGTCAGTTTTTGGGACTTCTCATATTTATTGGTTGTTTCAAATGAAAAATGTCTGCTATCTTCTTCCACATCTAAAAATCTTTGATTTTCTTATACTTCTGTCGTTTTTCTTTCTTTTTTTGATAAGTTATTCTTCTGTTTATTTGACAATATGCTTAGGATATTCTATTGGTGCTTGAACCTGTTGCATTCTCAAGATGAATACATCCATTGGGTTACTTTCTTCCTGATTTAGTATTTAGGTTGGGTATGCATTAAGGAACCTTTTAATTTTATTATTATCTGAGAATTGGAGGCTCCATGATCTTATTTAAGATAGAGATACGTTCAAATCCATCAAGGAGTACATACTTTGACGTTCATTATATTGGCCTATGTGAAATTTAGGGCTTTTATTTTTTATTTTTTTGGAACTTTTTAATGTGCTTGTTAATCTTTTCTGATTTTGGTTTGCAGTTATCTTCAAATTCCTTTGTGTTAGTTAACTTTGTCAGCTCATCGTGAATTTCTATAGTGTATTGCAATATCTGCAATTCAGTTCTGCTTCTTGAATCAATTTGCTAAATTTTGTTATAGTTTACCAGACAACAGTATGCCTTTTTTTTTTTTTTTTTAACCTTTACAGTAGGAAGTACTGATTTTAGGTCATTCTTTTAATGTTTAATGTGTATCGTGACTTTCAGAGTAATGATCCAAACTTGAAGAGTTCTCAAGCTATAACGAAGTTCCTGCCCTTATTGATTGGTTATTTTGCTCTTTCAGTTTCTTCTGGGCTAAGCCTTTATTGGTGAGTAGCTGTAGGCCCCCTCATTCATGTCAGAACTTCTTTGTTCACTATCAACCCTAAAAAAATTATGTTTTAATCTTAATCAGTACTCTGAACTTTTGTGTATCTACAGAGTTATATTTGCTTTTGTTTTTTGCCGGTTCACAAACAACATATTGAGCACAGCACAACAAGTATGGCTTCAAAAACTAGGGGGTGCAAAAAATTTAGTTGGGCAGTTGAATGATAATATAATTAAGGAAGAGCAAACCCAAAGTTTTTTTTAGTCCGACTGTTGGTTTTTCCAGATTTAAGCAGTTAAAAGGAGCAAGAGGCAAGGAGAAGACAGCAGGGAGAGGAAAAAAAGAGGAAAGCTGAAGAAGCAGCAACTAACCGGATTCAAATTACAAATGAGTGACTAAAGAAGGAAGGGAATTTAGTTGAGAGGGAAAATGGAGGTAGAGCCGAGTCAGGGAACGGAAGTTTTAACTCGACTAGGATCAACAATTCTTCAAATAGTGGACATGGTGTTGTGAATGGTGATCTTTCTACTTTGGACACAAAGGAAGACCAAGAGACTTCTATTTTTAGGATGAAAGACACTGAACTTTCTGACAAGCGTGAGAATGGAAAGGATGATCCATCTTTCTATGAAAAATCTAGATAAGGTAGCATTTGCATTCTATACCCTGAAGTTTTTCATTTTGTGCCCTTGAAATTATGCACTCTCACATGATTCATTAAGGTCGGTGTTCTAGTACAGTGGTTATTGCCTTTTTCATAACCTTTTGTTTACATGCTTTGCTTTTTACTTAGTTTTCTATGAATTAAGCGTACATAGCAGCAATTAGTTCTCTAAAGAAATTATTCCTTTAGTCTTGGCTGTAGGCTTTGTATAATATGAATAGTTTCAATTGAAAAAGGGTCCAAATAGGAGTTTGATTTGGGATTAACATTATTTCCTACTTACACATGTATGTATAGCATATTGTGTTTTGTGGGTAAAAGATTGAGGTATATTGCAACAAGCTCAGATCACTTTTTCACCCATTATTGTTCCAGGAAGAAGCAGTCGCCGCTATGGGCACTACAGATAACAAACTCTCTGGTGAAGACAAAAGCCCTGACAGAAGTGAGTGAGTGATGGAAAGTGAAAACGGCTCTAGCACTACAGGGAGCAATATAACCTTTTTTTGTGCCAAAGAGATCAAAGGTTAACTTAATCATATACACCTATATATATATCAGAGATAAAACAGAAGCTCGATGAAACTGCAGATATCATGGCAAAAACATGCACCCATCCTTAAAAGGATCCACTGAATATATCAAATCGAGCGTTTTCCGAATTTGTGGTGAATCTTGAAGCCAAAAGGAGGTTGTAAGTTATTGTCACAAATGGTGTGCGTTGAAATGTGTTTTCCACATTTGTGGTGAATCTTGAAGCCAAAAGGAGGGTGTAAGTTATTATCACAAATGGAGACTGCTGAAATGTGTTGCTGAAATTTTTGAGTAAGTCACATGTAACTGTATTTGTTTGATAATGTACAAAATGGTTTGTATCAAATACTTATAATTTGTTATCGGTTTCTCAATTTGTTCTTGGCTAATATATTGAATTATTGATGTATTCTCGACATTTCGAAAAGATGTCAACGTTGGTTTCATGTATGCAGAAAGCAAGTTAAAAACTGCTATAAGCGATTTGCACATGTCAACGTTGGTTCGTATTTGTAAATCTCAGTTGGTTTGACAAGTCAATAACTTGAAACTGTAAACATGTTTTGAATCTGTCTTGAAAGAAAGATGTTTGCTTTGCTTCTTGTAGTATTGTAACACACAAGTTTACGTTTCCATTGCCGCTTAACTCAATAGTCCTAGTCTTGGAAAAACATAGAAAACAAAGACAAAAAGTATAGATAATAGAATTGTCCTCTGATATGACAACTACGGCCCGTGGTAATTTTTGAGCGGACAACGTGTTGGCTATTAACTAGTTGAAATCATCCTCCCAGTTCTGAGGCTTGGGCACCTTATAATCATTCTCGCCATATGGAAGCCCCTCCTGCTGCCGCCGCCAATCCTCAAATGTTTTCAACCACTCATCCAATCTGAGACCATATCTTGCAAGCAAATCTGCAATCTGGTTTGACTCTCTATACACATTGTTCGGCGTCGAAATACAATTTCGACTTGAGGTATATAGAAATTTGGCTGATAGATACAAAACAAATATTAGTATTATAACCAATAAAGTAAAAAGATAAATAAAAACTATACTAACTCACCAATAAGTATGGTATTCGAACAGCTTAATTACATCCAGTCCCTTCAACTTCCTCACCACCCCATCGCAGTCTCCCATTATAACCACCTTTTGTATTTTCCGCATCTTTGCAATTGCCTTAGCCACTCTCTAATGGAGATAACCTCAGCATCGACGCTGCTCGTTACACCAGGAAATGCCAGACTTACAATCTATAATTTTCCCAGCCGAATCTTAAGAGTGCGTAGGCTCCTCCCTCGTAGAATTTCTTTTGCCCATTACTGTCTACGCCTTAGAAAATATAGATCGATATCTTTTAGGTTCCTTAGGATCTCACCTTTGACTAGTAAGACAGACCCCGCAAATTTTTGTTAAATGAGGAGCGCTTCTTTGACGTGGGGCAGGGGTCAAAATCTGCCACAACCATCCTATCTCTACACATTCCTTCGTAGAAAGGAACAATAACAAAAGTGCAAGTCCGCTGATATGCTCCCATGTACTCTAAGAAATAACATGAAATTGAAATAACAACATTAAAAGAATTTAAGCAGTAATCATAATATGTATTAAGCAGTAATATCGCTTTGGAAAGAAATTGGTGGCCTATAAATGCCTCGTATCTACGTATATGCACCGAATGTAGGATAGGTCTTAACTACTCATCCCATTGGACTAAGTGAATCATTCATGTCATATAGCTAATAATGTTCTTAATTAGAAATTAGAGGTGGCGAAGGCTTGAAATCGGACTTAATAACGAGAAGCAACCCAACTGCAGGGTACGAAGGGCTTCACAATTTGCATAGAAATTGAACATTCACTTATTTTAACAACAATTTGCATGAAATTGAACAAAATCCCTTCAAACTTTATTACCAACTGTTCTAAAAATTAATATTTTTCTCATCTACATGGATTTATATATTAAATAAAAATAGCTTTGAACCAACAACCAAAACAAAAACAAAAAACAAAAAGACAAACATTTAGGGGTAATAACCTTGTGAGTTTTTACCAAAAAAAAAAAAAAAAATTTATGTTAAGATAACAGAGTGATCCAGTAGCCAGGAAGGGGCCTAGAAGTGCCTTCACCACACTACACTTTGGCTTTACACATTTACAGAGCTAACCAACCCCCCTCTCCAGTGCCGGGTAGATTGGATTAGAGGGGTATGGAGAAAGAAAATAAACTCGCATTTCTCATCGAACAAACAAATACAAAAAAAGAATCATTTTGAAAACACTCCTAACCCAACCCCTTCCTTCGTAGAGCCTATACATATAGAGAAAAGGAAAGGCCATTTTCAAAAAACACAGACATATACATAGAGTGCGAAGGAAAGGAAATCGGACTTACGAGAACCAGATCGTGATAATGACCACTGAAATCCAGAAAATCACTCCCCTAAATCCGAAAGCCCCCAACATTGAAAACCCTAATTTCAATCTCTCTCAGTGACAATGGTAAAGGGATTTATATAATTCAATTAGCTAGGCAAAAAAAACATACCTATTTGCCGACACCACCCATTCCCATTAACTCCCTTCTTTCAGAAAAGAAACCTATATTATTAGAACAAAAGAGGAAAAGTTTTTAAAGTGTTAACAAACTTGTAAAACATATATTCTGAAATTGAAAACTAAACTTCCAAAGTCTTTAATTTCCTTTAACAAATTGTTCGAGCATCACATCATAACAATATTATATATATGTATGTTGAAACAAAAACAAAAACAAAAAATCAGTATGTAAAACATGAATAAATAAACGTAACCAATAGCTAAAAATGCCAATAAAATTTTTAGAAAAAGTTAGAGTTTGTTACCTGATGACTGAGGAGGCATGTTTGTTGAACCTTGTTCTTGCTAATTGTTAAGGCCCAATGCTAATCCTAAAAATAAGAAAACACTCAAATTATGAGGAAGAGGTTTCACAATCACCACCATTTAAGTGCTATCTGTATCATGTATCAACACAACCCAATTATGCTTTCAGTCAAATGTTGGATACCTATCCATAGAAAGAGGTGTGATTACGGATATGTGTGATTAGCACATATTATACTCAGCTTTTATGTTAAATTAATCCAATAACAAAGTACAATGCATCAGTTTAGGAATAATCTTCAAAATTAACAAATCAATATTCTGATATTCCGCATTCTAATAACAAAAGAAAATCAAAAACCAAAATTTGAAAATAAAAATATGGCAAAAAGATTGAATACTTCGTGGATTACACAAATTGTATTTCTATGTGAAACAAAACATCAAGGATTTCTCAATGTTGTGGGCTAAATCAAAATATATCAACCAAAATCAACTGTTGTTTAATTCAATTTTAGTTAACTGACAATGTTTCTTTAGACAATTAACTGATTAAGGCATAGAAAATCCTATTTGGTAATTAATAAAAAAAATTACCAATTTATTACCCTATCTCTTCTTTTGACCAATTTACTAATCCTATTTGAGAATCTACTAGTGGAAGCAGAGCATGAGGTAGATCATGGCAAGCCCCTTCCAACACTATGGAATTCACTCAAAAGCATGCTTTTTGCAAGTATTTTAATTTTCAAGAAGTAACTTTAGAGCATTACCCTAAGTACTTCTGCTTGTCAAATTTCTTGTTATGATTTTTTTTTTTTTTTTTTTTTTTTTTTAGTTCTGAAAAGATTTCCACATTCAAAAAGCTTGGCATGTTTATAAAAATTGTTTCAGATTCAATCTCTGCAGATTTCTAATCCAATTCAGATTTTTTTTTTCTTTTTTCATGCCCAGATTCAAATTTTCTTGTAGACATAATTGACAGAAAAAAAGAATTTATAGAAATAAATATATATATATATATATATATATATATATATATATATATATATTTGTTTATGGTGATTACCTCAAAATGCAATGCAAATTTTGTTAGTAAATATATATATATATATATATAAAAGATCATAAAAAATTTCACCATATAGGATTTAGTTTGCAACACAAGAATCACAGACCTTGATTAGTTGATTTTGAAAAAAATTTAAAACAAAACCCATACTTACAAGTTAGCAGTTGCAGAGAGAGAGAGAGAGGGGGGCAAGCTTGAGAGTTGAGAGACAGCGGGCCAGCGGCTGAAGCTTGCGAACACAGCGGGCGATGGGAACTGAAAGATATGGATTTTGATTTTTTGAACAATCTTAAGTGATATGCCGATATGGGTTTTGATATAGGTAATAGGTTTTGATTCTTGCAGACAGATAGATAAACTAAAATATATGGGTTTTGAACTTCTGATTCTTGTAGATTTTGTAGTTGGCAGTTGCATAGAGCGAGAGGGGGGGGGGGGGGGGGGGGGGGGGGGCGATTGGGGAGGCTTAAATGATTTAACCTAGAAATATATTTTTTGTAAAAGGATGAGAAGCAGATCCTAACCAATGGTTGTTCGACACGTTGACGGCTACAGCTGTTCACTGTACTGTCCAGTTGTCACTTGCAGTTAAAAAAGAGTCTCCTTTGTTCGAAAGCGTCCGACACACACATATATTCTACTCGCCCAGCTAAATCTACCCATGCTTGTTTTGTTTGGAGGGTAAGAAACGGGAGGAAAAAAAAAACACATGAGGGATGAAAAAATGTAAACAATAGTGAGAAGAAAAGAAATGGAAGAAAGATGGGAAGATAATTTTTTATTCTCAATTTATAAAATTAGAATTTGATCAAATCACACATTTTAGTATATTATGTCTTCTAATTTTTAATAAGATTTATTTAAAAATTCATACTATAATTGAGAAAACGTTCCTACTAATATAAAAGCTATTGTCTATATTAGTTTGATGTAGAACTCTGCCTTATTTATAAAATTTCATTTTTTATAGGTCCAAAAATTCTTACCATAAAATATATGGAAATTACGTCTTTATGTTTTTTATTTTATTTTTTTATTATCTAAAAGTGAATAAATAATATATATATATATATATATATATATATATATATATATTGGTTGATTTCATTATTTTGACATGATAATTAACACACCAACATAATTTATTCTTTAAATTTTTTAATTTATACTAAATAAAGTGGTGAAGATATTAGTGGATGCAAGTATGAATATTTCTGTTCACTCGAGAGTATGAAGCTGGGGGAGGGTATCACTTATTATCCTTTAATTTTTTGTTTGCACTTTGCCGACGGCAACGCCAGTTGGATAGTACAAGCACACTACATTGTGCCATCCTTTACATAATGTAAATTATGTGAATTACAATTCTTTAATTTATAATGTTATAACTACCGTTTATACAACTTTTTTTTTTTTTTTTTTTTACCTTCTTTACTTTCTTTAATATTTTTTTTCCTCTCTTTTTTGTTTTTTCGGGATGTACTCTCAAAAAAATAATTTATTCTATACTAATAATTTTATTTTTAACAGTCAAAAGAGATAATTTATTCGATAAAAATAACCTTTATATATATTAGTATTATTATAGGTAAGAGAAATTCACTCCACTTTTTTATATCTGCACTACAATCTTAAATGAAATGGCAATTTTAAACTTCATTTTACAAGTAAATAATTATTACTTTTTAAATTACCAACTGCCCTTTCATATTTTCTCATCTTATCTCTAATTTTTAATATTTTAAGTGTCTTTTGCTAATACAAATAAAATAAAATAAAATAAAATAAAATATTGTTTTAATGGACCAATTTTTTATTTTTATTATTATTATTTTTTTGTTATGTTGAATAAATTGCCTCTTTTGACTCGATAAAAAAAAAAATAAAAGTAACAATTAAAAAAAATATCTCTTTTGACATGAAAAAAAAAATACCAAAAAATTATATTTAGTGAAAAATTATCTCCGCGGTCTAGATCCCAAAAAATAATAATTATAATAATAAGTAGAAAGGAAGATATTTAAAAAAAAAAAAATTTATCTCTATTGAACTTATTTTTATCAAATAAATTATTTCTTTTGACATGACCTATTAAAAATTACCAAAAAAATAAAGTTACCTCTATTGATAGAATTGAAAAAATGTTAATTTTGTTGAATACGATTGTAAAAATAAATAAATAAATAAATAAAAAGTCAAAATAAAATTATTAGTATGAAATAAATTATTTTCTTTAAGAGAACCTCCAGTAAAAAACAAAGAGAAAGGGAAAAAAAATAGTAAAGAAAGTAAATAAGGTAAAAAAAAAAAAAAAAGGACAATACTTGACTACTCACCGGTGAGTAGGAACTTCATACTTACCACCTATGTGGCAGGACAATAAAGTGACAAGTGTCCCTCCAATAAAAAATAAAAAATAAAAAATAAAAGAATTGAAAGTTATTTGGGTTAAGCCCAATAAAATCTGAATCAAATCCTAATTTGATTATTTCTCTTTCTTATAAAATCCGAATCAAGCCCAAAAAAATTTTGTAAAAGGAATTGGATTAATTTTTTTTATGATGGTGAAACTTAAGAGTTCAATTGTAAACCTAACCACTCCCTGCTAGAGCATTTGCATTAAAATATGTTTATTAACATTATTCAAATAAATAAAAGAAAGTATTTAGTCATGATTTAGAAAAAAAATAAAATTTGTTTTCTTCAGAATTCTTTTTGGTTGATTAATTATAACAAGACACCCATTAACAAGTGCAAGCATCTACCTTTACACAAACAATTTATTTATTTATTTATTTTTTTTATTTTTTGTCAACAAGAAGGCAACGGAGGGCTAAACAACACAAGCCACGCTTCAAAAGAACAAAATCAATACATATATATATATATATATATTAGTTTACACATGAAATCTTATAACCCACAATCGAAAATCCTAATCCGATTCATTTCATGGATTTAATTTGAGCAAGATACTTGTAGTTGTGATTCCTTAAGGCTTAGAGATTAAGGCAATAGAGTAGCATGGGAAAGAGATAATTATATATGGGTTTGATTTGGATCCTACAGGATTTAACACAAATAACTTCTTAAATCTTTTATTAATTTTTTTTTTTACATTGTAGGGACACTTGGCACTTTGTTGTTGCGCCACATTGATGGTAAGCATGAAGTTCCTACTCACCTGTGAGTAGGCAAGTATTGTCCAATAAATAAATAAAAATTTGAGGCCCTTTTGTCGCCTTGAGTCAGGGCCGGCTCTAGGCTTATTTGGTTTGGGCCTTTATTTTAGTATGGTGGCTGAGTTGACTTGAGTTTAAATGGGTACGTAGGCTAATTTTATTAATAATTTTTTTTATTTTTGGCTTGGCTAAAATTAGTATAGTAAAAAAAAAATAAAAATAAAAATTGGCGTGGGCTCAAGCCTACCCCTACATCCGCCCTTGCTTACCCTAGATTTGAATAATGCAATGGGTGGGGAAGAACTATTTTATAGTGAAAGGTTGGGTCTCCATTGTAGAGAAATCGTAATGAGTCTTGGAGTGAGATTAGAAACCCTAAGGTGTGGAGTAGAGCAGATATTTTCTTGGGTACTAAGTCATTCAATAATACAATATATGCTTAGATCTGTGTTGTTTACTTGGTCCTAATTACTAACCTGCAAATTTTTCTTCTTTCTCTAATTAATTAATAAATGTTAAGTGCAAAAAAATCCCCCTGATATATAAGGTTTGTGCAAAAATAGTCCCTACTTTATAAAAATGTGCATTTCAGTCCATAAAATGAATAATTAAAGTACAAGTGCACTATGCTGTGCCATCCTTTACATTTATCACTTATTATCCTTTAATTTTTTGTGTGCACTTTGCCGACGGCAATGCCATTCTTTACATTATCGGCAATGCCGATAATACAAGTGCACTATGCTGTGCCATTCTTTACATTTAATGTAAAGTATATGACTTAATTGGAGTAAATATTAATCGTATTTTTTTGAAGTATCGAGATGTGTGCCACATTATATATGTTTTTTTTTAAAAAATAATCTTATATTATAATAAAAATTTGAAGTTTTCTTTTTGTGGTTAATTTATTAACATTTTTTGTATTTTTTAAATATAATATGAATAATTATAATATAAGATTATTTAACATTTTTTATACTTTTTAAATGGAAATGTGACCCTGCCTCTCTGTCCCTTCTTAAATATGCGTTAGTTATGTCAAATTTGAATTCCTGAATCTTGGATTCTGAATCACTATTGAATCATGCATGAAACTGTGTCTGTGATTTGCCAGACTGAGTTCTTTTAAACTCATACTTGCATGTACCTTTTATAATTTTGAATTTAGGTTGAGCAAATTGAATATGATTCACTTTTTCATTTCATAATTTAATATGATTGAAATTTATGTGCAAAAAGTTCAAAGTGATGAACTGTATCAATCGCGATCCTAGGAAAAATCTAAAAAATGAGTAAATTCAAGAGATGGACATCTAAGCTTTCATTCTTCATTTACTTATCTCCTGTGTTAGCATTATCAACCTCTCAATGTATTTGGCTTTTTTAATTTCATGGTGTTAAACGGAGACTATGTTTCTCTCCTCTCTCTCGCCTTTTCCCCCTTTCTGCTGGGTTTCTCTGTGCCGCCTTTACTTTTTTCCCTCAGAGAGTGTGGGTTTGCCGACGATTCTCACTCATACACCTCACGTTTCAGCGGTCTAGAGAATCCATGTTTTCAGAGGGCCAGAGAGGTTTAGTGAGAGATGTTGAACCATGTTTCAACTTGTTCCTCACTCTGTCGAGGTCCTCTGTTTATCAGAGTTTGGGGTTATCCCCAGGTCGGTGTGGTTTGTCAGGGATGAATTCCCTATTTTCTCCTGTCCGTCGTTCGTGTTGGTTGTCTGGCCGGAGGAGCGAGTGGCGGCTTGTGAATTTGGGGTTTTTGTGCCTTGAAAGAATTGATACCCGATTTATGACACTATTTCATTTTGATCCGGGTATTGATATTTTTTTCTTTGTTTATTGTTTCAATCTCATGTTTGTTTTGTGTTTTTTGTTGGCGAGGTCGGATTTGCCTTCTCTGTCTTGGTGTCGGCGGCGTTTCCTTGCTCCTCCTGCACGGCTTTTTGGCTTCCTCTGGATGTTGCAGTTCTTCAATCTTGCAAGGGTGCTGTTTCTGCTTCCTCCAATCTGGTTTTTCCAGACCTATGTTATGTTGCTTCTTGGCCATGCCGCTGTTGGTGGCTTGCTGGCCCTCGGTTCCTCACTCAGAGTGGTGTTTCAGCCGGCACCCACTGACGTTGGCTCGTGGATGGACGCTGCTGGAATTCTTGGGCCGATTTGTGTATATCCGATGTGGCTTTTGTTGCTTCTAGTTGTGCTTCGTGGAGGTTCTATGTTGCT